TTGTCTTCGGTGTAATTGTGCCATTCTTGCGTGTCGTGTCGAGAGGCACTCTCAATAAGATAAAAATTAAAATGGTTAGAACTATGGTTAAAGAGGGGCGCCGGTGGCCGCAACGGTTTAGGCGTTGACACGGTGCTCATCACTGTAAGGTAAAGGACCTGGGTTCGAATCCAACGGCCCTGCAATATATATTATATTTAACCTCTGCTGTTATGAACCCTCGTAAAAACAAAAAACAAATAAAAAGGTTAAAATAAGACACATTCAATGGTTTGCAAACAAAAGTTGATACATTTTTTTTGAAACTTGTCAATAAAAGCTCTTTCAAGTCGCTTTCCACTTTTGTTAATCATCAAAAGTTGAATTGTGAGAACACGCCTTTGTTGGGATTTAGTCGACATTTCTATTCGGGGTTAACCAAGAAATCCCAGATACATTATGGTAGGGTTTTATCTGAAGTAATCAGTCTTAGTTTTTCTTCGTTCGTTTTTGTTGCAATCGGAGAAAAAAAAAGGTCCTAAACGGATCAGCCAAACAATCACTATTCTAACAAAGTTTTGATCCTTAAAAACCTTTTTTATTTATAAATAAACAAAAGAAAATTAACAAGAAATGTTTCATACTTTCAAAATCTTAAAAGTAACTGTTGGCAACTATGAAATATGGAGTGTGGGAAATGATTTCTATTCAAAATATTCACTCGTAATTTTTTTTTGCTTTATGGTCTCTGTATAAGCCACACTCATAAATTTCGACAGCATCTTTTTAATATGTATTTAATATGTAAATGTCTCATCGAAAATTTGACTATATGTGAAAACACAAGAATTAGCGCAATCACATTTTCTTTTTAATGGACATTTCAGTTAATCTCGGTTCAAATAAACAAGTCTAAAATTAATAGATATTATTCATGAATGATTATTTTATTTCTTAATAAAATACCAGCTAGGACAGGCAAAGTGGTAAGGCCTGCGCGGTGATGAAATTTCAGTTCAATACTTGATGTTCTACGTATTCTCATTTTAGTTTTGTCTCAGATCAGAAAAAAGTCCTGAATTTTCAAGGCTTAATGCTTTCTATTTAAAACGCCTTATTTTACTTTATTTTAGGAAATAATGGTAGGTATAAGGTAGATATAACTTGCTTAACATTATTTTTGTATTATTACGCAATAAAAAGGTCATTAATGGGAAAAACATGTCCATTTTGAACTTCATCAATACAAAATGGTTTCTCTTAATAAAAACAGTTGATAGATTTCCTAAGAAATTCTTATGTAACTCAGCCATAATCAGCTAATTTTCATTTAATATGATGATTAAAAAATATGCAGACATAAAGGTTTTGTCGTTTAAAATAGTTTTCTTCATTTATTCGTTGGCCGGATTAACTGAAAGGGATTTCTCAGTTTTCTATGTATGTGTATGTGAAATGCCGTGATTATTACGCGATAAATTTGGACTGTTTCAACTTTTGTTTTAAAATGAACTTCAATGAATGAATGCTGAAAGGATTTTGCCGTACTTTGTGCTAAATAGAGCAATTTTCCAGGGCCTATATTATACTTTAGTTGTTACATTCAGTCATATTTCAATAGAGTATTGATGGATTTTTTTTTCATTTAAAAGTTATACATAAATGAGAATAACAGATATTCCCCATGGAATCCATTGATTTATTTAAAAACTCTTCTTTCTATTCATTGTAAACCTTTCCTTTGACTATGTTGTTTTATTTGTTTTGCGAAAAATTATCTGTAATATTCGCTTAACATCTGTGATACATAGTTGTTAAATTAATTATTTTTTAAATTTGTTTTTATTCTGTTTAAATTATTTTTGTTTTACATTGGGGGGATCAATAATGACAAAGATTTTGTTATTTAATCTACTTGCTTTTTGTACATCCTGAATACAATACTTTCTAGGTTAAAATGGAGAACGATCTAACAAAAACGGGCCATTTAATTGCTGAGCTTTCATCGATTACATCACAATCATAACATTGTTTTTAATAAATATTTTAACGTTAAACCAGCAAAAGCTCGGAAATTAAACAATTTTTCTTTTGATAGACTTATCTTTTATCAACATTTATTCACATTTCAAATTGGGCGTGTGTATTCAACAAAGTCAAAGTCTGATGAAAGGATTTCCGATAAAAGTGTTTTTAAATTTCGTAAGACTGTAGGTTTTATATGTTAGTTTTCACTTCATGGCCGTAACTTAACTGAAATGGCTCCACGTTGCTTATTCTGTTTGATTACAGCTTGAAAAATGTCAATTGCACAATGAAATTTATAAATACTAAGGAAAAGGCTATTTGAATTCAGATAAGATCAGTAAATTTGCAGTACTTTCTATTTTTGAATTGTGAAATTTCTCCTTGGGAGGTCTTTCGGGATGATGATCTGTAGTTTAGTCATTTCAAGTCATTTTTGCCTGCCTATCCTGTCAGTCAGAAACCAACAAAGTGGCAACAAACAAACTACACGTTCTTTTTTGATCTGTGTCTGAGAAAATAAAACAGTATTTGTACTTGTTCTTCATGAAGTCATGACCATGTTTAAAAAAAAAATTAAATTATTTTATTTATTTACGAGGGTATGTCAAATATGGGGTTATATGAACCCCGCGGGGTGCTGGGGTTTTGAAAAAAAAAAAAAAAGTTTATAAATACATTGTTTGAATGCAGAGCCACAGGATTTGAACCTGGGACCTTTAACTTACAGTGACGAGCACCAAGTCAGCGCATAAACAGTTGCCACCACTGCCATTCATGACCATATTAAAAATTTATCTTTGAAATCTTGCTGAATAGAAAAAAAAAGTTGAACAACCTATTCCTCTACTAATGTCACTACAACTGCAATTTTAAAATAAAAACTTTGAACATTGTGTGTCTGGTTTTGAATCTGAGGCCCTGAATTCGAACCCAGAGTACTTACAAATGCGTTAAAAAAAACCAAAAAAAACAAACACAAGTTAGAGAGCGTCAAGCCTCTTGGTTATCTCAGACTACATGCTCATGAGTTCAAATATCATCGTACTGCCTGAAATTTCTCCCCCCCCCCGCTTCTGCATTTGGTTAATATGGAAATACAGGGCAATTAAAAAAAAGTCTTATTGCTCATTGTGTTAAATTCAACAGAAATAAAAAACAATGCACATAACATAAAAAATTAAATTGGATTGAGGTTGTTGACCAGTTTATCTTTCAAAATTCAGTTTTATTGTTAAAAAAATGTAGTGTGATCTCTGATTGTCCTGATCTATCTTTATGGTTTTGTCATATCTGACTGGATATACCAGCCAATGATGATAACAAAATGTTGAACTGCGTCACATGGTCAAGCTACATGCCCTTTACGGAATTTTACAAAAAAATATTTCCCTAAACTGTTTTGGTGCATAATTTTGGCTATACACTTTATTTATTTGTATTTGGTATTTGTTAAGCATTTGCGATTTCCTTTTGGAATCTGCAAGGTGATGAACCTGTAGTTCGGTTGTTTCCTAGTCTCTGATAAAAAAATTTCAAAAGACCAAATTACTTTTATAGGTACTAATATTACAGTTTCAAATGTCATAATCCTGAAAAAAAATGGAGACCATTTTGGGGTAATATATTTATTTCTTTTAAAATCCTGTGCTTTATTTAGTTCATACTTTGTTTCTACTAGAAAAAAGTAGTACTTTACAAACCTTTTACTTTAAATTAATCAATATTGTGTTGTAGAAGGCAAGTGCTACCATTATAGAAATAATAAAATAAAATAACAGTCTGATTTGAACTAATATAATGTTAATCTTTGCTTTAAAGTAATAAAGTAAATAATTCATAAGTAAATAGGACAAGTTAAATGTTTACGTTATCCAAAAATAAATAATTTCAAAGTTTTAGTTGTTTCTTTTCAAAGAGATTCCCATTTATCTATGAATAAATTAACTCATTTGATTTTTATTTTGCTATTAAGAAAAATAGTCACTTTTAAAAGTTCAATCAGAAGTCTTTGTAAATTTAGGTTTGAGTTTATTTTGAAAAGGTGCAAATTTTCTCGGTTTCAAGTCAGAATGCGCATGTTATTTTTTCCCTATTATTAGTTTATTATTCCTTTTGTTTGATTGTGACACACCGAATGAAATGATACCGTGAGCAAGGCCAGATGATTTAGTGAAGAAACGAAATGATAGCAGATGTTTTATGATACTCATTAGTGATTATTTCTTATTCAATGAATATTTAAAATGCTTAATTTTGTGTTCTAGCTGGCCAGCATTTTTTCATACTTAATTATTAACAATCAGAAAAAAACAATTGTGGTTGAAATTAATTTTACAAATACAAAACATTAACTTATTTATCTTGGTAAGATATATTTTATTCTCTTGTGATTTTTTTTATGGTATTTACGACTATATTGAAATAGTATTTTTAGGATATAAAGTTGCTTTATAATCTAGCTACGTAGCTTTTCTTTTAAATGTCAAAATATATTTATTTCTTTTCATAGTAAAATGGATTTTTTTAATTCAATATTTAATGCGTTAATCTACTTGGCTAGGTTTTCATTTTTCTGATAGGCGTTCGATTCGTATTTTCCATGCTGGAGGTTCTGGGTTCAAATCCCGGCATAGCACATTAAATTTTAATTGAGAATAATTAAAAATTTTGTAAGGTCTTGACCCTTTGTCCACGAAAAGCAATGTGTAGTTGGAAGTTAAGCCTTCCTGATAGACAAGAATTACTTTACTATAATTATAATAACTTTTAAAAGGCCAAGTGTATTAAAATTTATTCACTCAGTATGTTTTTATTGAAAATATACCTAATTGTATGTTGAACACAGACTTTTGTTTAAATTTTATTAAGAAGGATGTATTTGGTGATTTCTAAATTTTTACCCGATCTTTCCAGGCCGTTTGACGCTTTTTATTCTCCATAATTAATCAAATTGTTGACAATATAAATAATTTTTTGTTTTAAATGTTATTTAGGAACTTCAAGACCTTGGTAGAGATCCTCCCGCACAATGTTCCGCAGGTCCTGTTGGAGATGATTGTAGGCCTTATTTTTGTCATATGTTTTATATTTATTCAATTAAATTAGTAAATTTGTTAATTTTCTTTTCAGTATTCCACTGGCAAGCGACCATAATGGGGCCAGTAAGTTTCATTTTGTTTATATATTTTGAAAAATTAATGACAGTGTTTAATAATGGTTTAAACATTCTAGCCTGACAGTCCGTACCAAGGAGGAGTATTTTTCCTAACAATCCACTTTCCTACGGACTATCCCTTCAAACCACCTAAGGTGACTATTTTTCAACCACAACTTACACCCGTTTTGTTAATCAATTTTATTCCATTAGGTGGCATTTACTACAAGAATTTATCATCCAAACATAAATAGTAATGGTAGCATTTGTCTGGATATTTTAAGAGCCCAATGGTCTCCTGCACTTACCATATCTAAAGGTGAGGAATTTTTTTTCTCTAAATTGATATCAACAGTGTCTTTGTAGAATATTGTTAAGATTATTTTAAAGGTTGATGACGATGGCCTGGGGTCTTAAGGTAAAAGGCTGTCTTAACGTCGGTTGACTTTAGTTCACTCAAATCGGGGCAGTATTTTTTGTAGGAAAAGTGTTCCGACGTGAACAACATTCTCATCCGTCAGTACAAATGAAAAGAAGTAAGAAGAATACAAATTATTAAAACAAAAGAAAGAAAAAAAATTATAAAATCACCCTTAGATTATTCTTATAAACATTAACATGTTGATTGTGGAGCGTCAAACATCAAAACGTTTCCTGGGCCTGAATTAAGCGAAAGATTTTTAAATGCAAAAAAAAAATCGTCTCACGTATGCCGTGTTCTGCAGTCAACGTTAATGTTTTTTATTGTAACTCTAAACAGCAAACCTGTTGATTTTATTATAAAAATTTAAAAACAATTTAAACATAATTCTTCTGGCTTCAAGATATTTTTTTTTTTACATTTTATAAGTGATCAATGTCAAAATATTAAAAGAAAGATGGAAGAGATTTGTGTTCTTTTTAGTCAAGTCATTTTTTCAATGATTTTCTGAAATGTGGGATTTTTATTGCTAATTTCCCTTGCTTTTCTAACTCTTGAAATGAAAATAAATTTGCATATGGCTTAGTTTCTTGCAAATTTTGTTGTTGTGATTATGTTGTTAATTTATTTTCTACTGTGAATCATTTTGTTATAAAATATTCTAGGTATTCAATTTTTCTATGTATATATTTTAAATTGTTAATATGTTTCTAAATTATAAAAAAAAGAATTTTCAGGGGGTTGATTATTTATATTTTCTTTGGGCTCATTTTTTATTGTTAAATTATATTGAAATTGCAATATTTATAATGAAAATTATTTAATATTGATATCGCAAAGTTCGATTTCATTTTCAATATTGCATTTTGGATTCGTCGTCTTGTTTTTGTTATTTTCAATCTGTATTCTTTTTCCAGTGCTACTTTCAATTTGTTCTTTGTTGTGTGATCCAAACCCGGACGATCCGCTAGTCCCAGAAATTGCAAGGATATACAAGACAGATCGGGAGAAGTACAACGAACTTGCAAGGGAGTGGACACGAAAGTACGCTATGTGATGTGTGTGCCAACTGCCTACAACATCCTTCAGATTCAGCGGCACATACAAATCACATTCTCGTCACACTTCAAACACAGTGTTCAACCGTTTTTGTTACAAATATATATATTATATATACTTATATATTATATATATGGAAAACATCAATACCTTCAGCCGCACTATAAATTTTAAATGATATTTGGGGCTACACACATTTAAAGGTTAAGTGAAAATGGTTGTAGGCCTTAAATATAATCAATAGATGGAAATTTTACAAAACAAAAAAAAAAAAATTGACTCCGTTTTACAGTGCTATCGTATTTGTACTCATTTTTAACATAGATCGTTAAAGCAGCAAGTGTAAAAAAAAAGTTAATAATGTTTAGAGGGTTTTTGAATTTTCTGTAAATTTTATTTTTTTCGAATACCGTACTTTTCTGTTTTTACAGCTAATTTTTTTTTATATATATATTTTTAGTTCATTTTATTGTATTGGTTCATAACTAATTTAAATTGCTGGATAATTTATACGAAAATCCCTGAGGGGTTTACAGTTATTAGCTGTAACTGCTTAGCTATGTGCAGTTGTAGTTAACTGTAAAAATCTCGAGTGGCGTTTACCTTTTATTCAACCAACTTTTGAAAATCTTTAGTCTAAATTCCTATCAAGCTGTAATATTTTCTATGGATACAAAATATATTTTTTACCTGAACGTGTAGCAGGTTTTGTACAAAGTTGTTTTTCTTTTTTTTTCTTTCTTTTTTGTTTTCGGTTATTTACATTATTCAGAATCAGAAAGATTCTCTTACCTTTATATATACTATATATTCTAGCTTGTCAATTTATAAATAACATTTTCTTAACTTATCAACTTATATATCCTAGAAATCAATGAGAAAATCGCTTCTAGACAGTTCTTTTTTCCTTTTCCAAAATATTAAAAAGAAAAAGTGGCATCCTAAAATTTTCACTTGAGAAAGTGGAATTAAGTAGGTCGTGCAAATGTTAATTTATTTTTTTCCTTTAAGAAAAATATATATAAACCAATGTTTTGTATATTTTCATGCAAGTTGGTGACCAATTTATCCAATAAAACAGTGTTTCTCCAAATTTAAATAAAATGAACAAACTAAGGAAATTGAAAAGAAAAAAAATGTAAATTATTTAGAGACTCAATAAAGGAAATATTTGTTAAAACAATAACATCTGTTATCCAGGAGATATTATTTCAATTGTATTTTAGTGAAAGTGTTAATTATTATCCCTCGCCCCCCCCCTTTAAATTATGGCAGTGCTGTTAAACAGGTTTTGCCAAAGAAAAAAAGAAACGGCTGGAATGTAAAAGGGAAAAAGTTAGGAATGAGTATTTTAAGAACTTGAAACTCCCTATGATTTTATTTATGCTTGTAAGTTGTAAATTAAATTACATTTTCCATTACGATTTTGCACAATTGTGTTTTTTGTTATTCCATTTTAAATTTATATCACCCTATCCAATTTTTTTTTTTTATAATTTGATTTTATAATTAAAACTTTATTGGGCTGTGGTTTGGACAAATATTACATTGTCGATTTTGTATCTTGACTACCTCATAGACTTTTGGGTATTTGCCAAATCTTAATATAAACCCATTGGTAGGTAAATTAGGTTTTAGGCTTATTTCAGAGCCTGCTGTGTTTGTTAAAAATAGGTCAGGGACATTGATTAATAAAAAAAAAATTGACTAAATAAACCACAACCAATGGGTGTCTTTAAGGTCTCCCCTTTATTAAAAAAAAGTCCAATCTTATTTTAAGAACAAGTTGGAAGTTTAATTTTCAATTAAACTTAGAATTCCTTGTATAAAATTTTAAGTAAGTATGATTATAGTAAAAATAAAAATTTAAAAGGAAAGACATGTGATTGAACTTTGGGAGCCTTAGCCCTACATATAATTTTTAAGTGTAAGTATGTACATAAAAAAAACTATATTTGTCTGTCAAACACAAATATGTTCTTTTTTCTTCTGTTGTGAAAAATATTGTACTTAATTATATCTTAGGATTTGTTGAAATCTTCATTCTCTGTATATATTAAAAGTATTTAGATTATTTATTTTTTAATTAGTAATTAATGTGGAAAGAATGCATTCTGATAATACATCCTTCCAATTGTTTATTATATTCAATCTAATATTTAAAAAAAAAGAAGTTTGTCAGCACTCATGAAATTTAATGTTAGAAGCAGGAAACATGACACCGTAGCTCTTGTGGTTTAATGCACTATCATGGATATATGTTGATTTATTTTATTCGCCATGAAAAAAAGAAAATTTACTATAGTAGTAATATGTTATTGTATGTTAAAGAATAAGTTTAAAAAATATAATTTTTTTTTTATTTAAACAAAAACCTTGGTCAAATATATTTCTCATGGTTCTAATCACAAATAAGAGTTGTGGTGTTTAAAATTTAGTGTTGGTGAATGGTGGAATTTTAAGACTAATGACGATTTATATAGGATATAAGTGAAAAAATTATTTAAAGATTAGGGTGAATGTATTACTGTTGGAGGATAGTATTTTTATTATAAAGAATTATTTTAAAATAGCGTACCTCGTGTAAAATGAGTGTTATTGTCAAGCATCAGTAAAACGTTAAATTGAAAGTGTGGCTGTTTAGTTTTATTTTTGCGTAAGTATAAATAATGCTGCAAATATATAAATTGAGAATTATTTCGGTTTCGTCCTTTTTTTGACAGATATTTTTATATACAGGGTGTATCTGAATTTCCTAGATGTCGTAACTTTTCTTCCCCATTTTAAAAAATTAACTTGTAAATTATTTGTTATAATATAAGCATATTTGAGGGAACTGCAGTAGCCGAGTGGTTTGGACATCCAATTCTTATCGTGTCCTGGGTTTGAATACCGGCATAACCCATGGATTGTGAATAACATTGGGAAAATATTGTAAAGTAAGATTTGGCTCCTCAACCGTGCCAACCAGCAAGTAGTTGGACGTTAAGCCTTCCTGTACGATATGACAGGAATTAATTACTTTACTTTTTACTTTGTATGCATATTTGGTTACATAGTACAAAAAACATGAAATTTTGTGCTAGATGGATAATAATAAATTTATTTACAGTTGTATTTTCATATAAAAGGTTACAGTTGTAAAAAAAATATAAAAGGTTTCGCTCTCACCTAAATACTCTGACAAAAATTTTCATTGAAAAATAAACTTTAAAAGTTTGTGAGAAAAATAAAACGTCTTAAAATATTTAAATTAATCTTAAAGTATGCTTCATCCTCCTAATTTATACTTTTTTTTTTTATAATGAAGCGAGCTCATAGTACAATTTACACTATTTATATACTGATGAAGGCTGATCTCGCAAGATCATAAATATTTCTGTTAACCTGTACATGTAGTAGAAAACACATTAATAAAGTAGAAATGCACCTGCTATTCTTAAACATTTATGTGAACTCACTAATTTCGTGGTCCGCTTGACCAATTAATGTTTTACAATTAATTAAGGTTTTTAGTTGAGATCAAAAAGTAAATGGCACGAGCGGGATTCGAACCCACGATCTTCGGCTTGATACGCCGCTGCTCTACCACTTGAAAAACGGAGGGAAAATTCAAAAAGGTGGGGTTGAGATAGGAAGTTGGTGTCCGAGTGGATCGAGGTCACGATAGCTCAAGTGGGAGCAGCGGCGTATCAAGCCGAAGATCGTGGGTTCGAATCCCGCTCGTGGCATTGACTTTTTGATCTCAATTAAAAACCTTAATTTATGTGAACGTTGGAGTTTTAAACTGTTTTTTTTTTTAATTTTTTTTAAATTTATTTTTTTATTAAGTTATCTATAATAATATATATCCATAATCTATGAAATGCTNGTAGCGGTGTATCAACCCGAAGATCGTGGGTTCGAATCCCGCTCGTGGCATTGACTTTTTGATCTCAACTAAAAACCTTAATTTATGTGAATGTTGGAGTTTTAAACTGTTTTTTTTTTTTAATTTTTTTTAAATTTATTTTTTTATTAAGTTATCTATAATAATATATATCCATAATCTATGAAATGCTCTAATTGTTTTGTCACATACAAGGTTAGCCTTGTGCAGTGGCAATATCGTAATCAATGAAGTTCTACTGAGATGCGATTATTGCTAGTTGAAAATTATAACTGAATAGTTAGGTTGTACAAGGTTGAAAGTTAGCTTAGCCCCAAATATCTACACTTTTCCAGGGTATTTTAGTATTATTGACATTTAAAAAATATGAAATTGTGGTAACGTGATTATTCGACTTTGAACTGGGAAGGTATTATTCGGCAATTCAATCCGGCCCGGAGGACCAAAACACTCTGGCATAAAGTGGACTGTGTATTTTTAATATTTAAATTTTTTAATGACAAGTTCATCATCTCGTGGCGACATTCTTTCATGAAGTTTTTGTAAGGAAAGATCACGAGGGTAAAAATGTCAGGGAAGGACGCAAGATTCTTTTACCTCGACTTCGTATAAAAATGCCAACTCCCAGCTGAGTCCAAATGATATTAATTGAAGATATAATGATCGTCTAAATCCAGTGACAAAGGAGCAATCCAAAACTGAAAACTTCGACTGAGATAAAATCAACGTCCAATAGTTTAACAAATTTGGCTTTGCTGATGTTTGATTGTTACTTTTGAAAATATTTGAAGCATTGATAGATGACACTACACATCAATTCTGAATAAGGGCATGGAAAAAAATTGTGCCGTAGGCGTATTGCAAACCTGTAGATCATTGATATTTGTAAATGTTGAATAATGTTAGAGCAAGAACTGCACCTCGGGACACTCCTGCAATTGATTGACAATTGGAAATGTTGACAAATTTTTTATATTAAAATACCATTGTTCCACACAGTGCAGATATTTGGAAAGTGCCCATATGTAAGCATTGATAAAGTGAATTTTTAGATACATTTTTAATCAAATGATTGCAGATTCTATCTGAGCCAGGTGATTCAGTTCATTAAATTAAATATTAAAAAGGAGATGAATTTCCTGTTTGAACTTGAAACCAATAGAATAGATTAAGTACTAATTCAACATTAATAAAAGGGAGCCGAGTGGTTAGCATGAGAGACTCTCATGCCACGGTCGTGTGTTCGATTCCCACCGTCGCCTCTGGCCCTTATTTCCCGATAACCCCCAATTGAACAACATACATAAGAATTCGTCATGGCTAATATGCAAAGATCATAAGTTAAAAAAAAAAAATTAATAAGTATAAATACAACACCCTATGAATTTACTTATTTATTACTGATTGCATGTGCGATGAAATGTTGCAAATATACTTTTATTACCAGACTTTGTACTATCTGAAAATTGAAAATTTGTGTGATTTTGTGCGTGGTCGTTACTGGTTATTTTGGTCTGCCTTCAGGTCTTTTGAATAAGGTCTGGTTATTTTATGAAAACCCAGTGGCGGTAGGTAGACCAAAATGATCTGTAAAGACCAAATTTCAGGTTCACCACCCCGCAGTTTTGTTTGTTAAAAAAGAAGTGATCTAAAAAATTTAACTGGACTATTGTTATAAAATAGTGCTAATTTTAGCCTAGTAAATTTAACATTAAAAATTTTTAAGATGTCAAATTGACTATGCATAATGGGGAATGAATAAATTGCTGGAGGTCATGGTCTGGTAAAATTTAAATTTACAATGAAAACTAATTTATGCAGAAATTTAAATGCATTTAGAAAGGCTGTTTTCATTCTAAGATTAGTAAAACGCGAAAGATTTATTCGCTATGAAGGGAGACCAAAGTTTTAAGATTGCACAGTTTTAAAAAATGTAAATGCAAAATTATAAGATATCTTCTTGATCTCTGTGGGGTGATGAACTGTAGTTTGGTCGTTCACCCCGATCTGACTATTTTTGATGTTTTGTTCTGTTGTACTACAGATAAATTTAAATGTTGAAGTTTGCCAAGCTCTTGAGTTTTATCCTAAACGAGCCATTTTTACTAATTCAGGGTCTACTGTCCAGTTTTTCAAAAGTGCTTCATCCCTGTGAAAAATCATTGTAAACTGAGTTTGAGCCATAGAAATATTTTAGGGTATATTTTGGAAAGCACAAACTGTGCAATATGTATGTAAAATATTTATTATCTTTCTATCATAAAGTTAGTCGAGGTGAAGCAGCCGGTATAAATTTGTTTCATCTCAACTTGAACTCTATTTTAGAAAATGTAAAATTATATACATGAATTGTGAATAAGTAGGCTAGGGCTCCATTAAAGGAAATGTTCTTTACTATTTTTATTCAAAATCCAAAATCAATTCATTTACTAGTTTCAAAAATTCTTTTTTCAAAGATCTGCTTTAGGAATTGCAGACCAGCCAAAATTAGTTAAGCACTAGTAATCAACACATATTGGAATAATAATAGACAAATTATTGCTTATATTGTAAAAAAATATTGATTCCAAAATTGGAAACTGGGTTGAATTGAAAAGTAGAATTTGAGCTAAAATTTGAACCTAGGTACTTGTTATCATCGTAACCAATGTGTAGAGATTAGTGACCGTTAATCTATAGTTATTCAGATATCGTGAGACTCCCGACCGCATCTCACGATATCTGAATAATCGTAACCAATTTTTTCACTTTTCCATCTGACTGATGTTCTTTTCTACTTTTATTCTATTTTGACTCTTCCTTTTACATTTTCTTGCATTTTCTTTACTAATCTTGGTTTTTCTTAAACTTTTCAAGATCAATCTTTTTCTGATTTTTTTTTAAATACTGCTAACATCATACCTTTATCTTTTTGCAAAACTAGGGAGCTGTTCTACTAGGGAGAACCCAGAAGGCTATTATTTGAGTTTAAAGTCTGCCAGTGGTCCACTGACTTACTAGAATTTAGTAGACTTAATTACTTTTTCACTGTCATTTTGAAAATGTGAAAGATACAACCCTCCCCAGTTAATCTTCACAGTTAGAGTACGGACCAAGCTTTACCAAGCATACTTCAATTTTACCCAAAATGGCTACACTTATTCACCATTCATGCAGTTTATTATCTTCACAATATCGAAATTCAAATTTTTCTAGGAATTGAAAAAAGGCGATAGTTAATAAAAAAAACCTTTATTACTGTTATTATATTTTTGATAAAACGTGATTATTCATTTTTAAAATTAAGTAAAACATATGGGAAAATAAAGTTTTCTTATTTGAAATTGCATGAAATGACTTTTATTTTTAATAACAATTTTCTAGTCATAAGTTAATAAGTTTTTCAGAGCAAGAAGTACTGCAAAATTGTAATTCATGAATTTTATTTGTTGTGAAACATTTTAAATTGTTTTAATTATTATTTATGTATTTTTCAGAAAATTGATATGTAATTTTCTTTTTAAATTGTTATTATTAATTTATTAGTATTAATTTTTTTTGGGGGGGTGGGCGCAACAGTTTAGGCGTTAACATGGTAAGGTTCCGGGTTCGAATCCAGTGGCCCTGCATTCAAAAACCTCCACCCTGAAGGTTGAAATACCCTCGTAAAAAAAGAGAGAAAAAATAATTAATAACCTGACATACTTTCAAATGGGCTTTTTTTCCACAAACCCTAGCACCATGAGGGTTAATATGACTTGTGCTGTTTCAAACCCTCATTAAAAAAAAAAAAAAAAAAAAAATGTTATAGTTACTTAGTATAAAAAAAGTCAGCTGAGAAATTTAGTTTTGAAAATTAATTTTTGTTTTATTTTGTTTTCTAGGAACCACTGGCAACCAAATTTAAAAATTAAACAATATAAAATTTAAAAAATTAAATTATAGAGCATTTAAATAGATCATTTAACTGTTTATAAGTTGATAAAATGAAACTTTACGTGATTGTTTAGCTTTTCATTTATCGGTTTTGATTGTTTTTCTGTGATAACGTTAAAGAGGTCAGTTTTCTATGTTGGTCAACCGTTTGATTTTATAGTTTTCAACCTAATTATGAATATGTGATAAAGATTATTGTTGACAATTGAAAATTTATGTATAAAACAAAGGGCGTTACGATTTAAAGGAGCATTTCAACAGTGCTAAATTGTTAAGGTGTTCTAAATAAATTAAATTAAATAAATGTTAACATTAAAGGCTCAACCTTTTGAATGATTTAAAGGATTTACTCGGTCCCCAGTGTTTGTTTCGAAGAGCACTTTTCATTTTTCAGAAATTTCTTGGAATTTATAATGAGATTTGATTCTTTTCCCAAATTGTTCTACCATTGAATGTTGGCTGCTAGTGTTTGAATGAGAGTTGTGCGTGCAAGATTTTTTTTTTCAGGAATTTTTGTTATTTTTCATAGTTCAAAAGCTAAGAGTGGATTTATGACGTATACTGTATACAGTTTTAAAAAAAGTTGAATATCTGTGAAAGGGTTGAGAAATCAGACCATGGTTTATATAGTTTTTCTTCCATTTGGGGCATTGAGGGTGAAGTATACGCTGTATTTACGATTTTTTTTTTTAAATTATACAATAATTAAGCTATTAGATCATATGAAAATTAATTAAATTACAATTTTTAGAAAATTAAATACATAAATAAAAGAATCTTCTTCTCCTTGCAAGATTTCCTTTTTTTCAAGAATTTTTGAGGTTGTTGGAATGGAAAAATGAAATAGAAGAAAATACAAATTGCGGGGTAATAAACTAAAATGCCCAAAATCGCAATTTGAATAAGAAAGATAGCTAAAAAAAAACCTTACAAGCCTATGGTAAAAGTTTAAATTATGGAACAAAAATTTTAAATTCTAATTAAAGGACAGGAATAAATTTTATAATTTAAATTTTTTCTGCATACATTTGGTCTTCCAAATTAAGCATTTTAAAAGGATAAATTAAAGCTTGGGATGGCAGTAGGATAGATTATGAACGTTTGGAGTCAGAGCTTTATAGCACTTTACTGCTAACCTAAGATAGAAGGTTTAAATGTTAGGGCGTGAAATGACCATAGCCGTTAAACGCCCTTTAAAATTAATTATAATAATAAAAAGGAGGCCACTGAAAATTTGTGGCAGGTTTACTTTTATGCTTAAAAAAGTGAGGGGGGTTATGATTTATTTGCACGATACCAATAGCTAGTTGAATACATTATCAAACCAATAATGATACAGGGCACAGGTTGATATTCAAAATTGTAGTATTATTCAAATTCCAAGGTTCATCCCAACCGAAATGGCGTACCATCGCGCTAGAACGGTGGGCTATCGATTCGCTAAGGACAAAAACTCAGCAGTTCTCCCACTCCGCAGCGCCGTGCTGTAGTGCTGAAGACGGAATTGGGTAAGGACTAAGGCTCAGTCGGAATCTAGGACCCGAGTGGTTGATTTCAGGCCGGTCACGGTTCCGTCTCACGTGAGAAAAAAACAATTTCGTCCTCAGATTGCTGATTTATCCCCAGCCGAGGCAATTTTTGGATTTTCCCCCGTTTATTTTATACACTTTAGTGAGAGATTTTATTTACCTGCCAACATACAATGAAGCCTAAAGTCGGTAAAAACGAAAAACCAGACGTCGATTATCACCAACTGGATGACATTAACGAGGCGTCAGTACTGAAGGTAAGTGTCAAAAAATTATAAACGAACAATTATCTAATACACACTTAAATACTAATAAACAATACATAAAACTATTTTATGCATTAAATTAAATGAACTTAACAAAAATCAAATGCAATTAGATCGTTTTGTGCAAAAAAGTAACAATGAACCAAATTCTTTATACGAAATTTATTCTGAAAAACTTTCAACCGCTTTATCTAACAAAATAAATATAAATAAAACAATTATTAATAACAAAATAAATTTAAAAAATTACAATACAATAATTAAACTCTGTCAACAGTAAAACTATGAACAATCAAACTAGCATAGAAATAGTAGAAAAGCATTACTCAAATTAAACGTTACTTTAAAAAAACAAAATTTTATGCTTGGTTATCTATCATATGGTGAGAATTGTAATTAAAAAAAACAAATTGGCAAAAAGGTTTAAAAAATAAAGATAAAATATCACTTGGTGCAGTGACCCTGTCCAAATTGCAGAACAACGGTGCCAAAAAATTTTGGCAAATGCTTAGTCTAAGAAATGTTTTAATTGTTTATTTTTATATGTGTATGTACACGCGAGTGTGTTTATATTTATATACATTTTGACGTATGAATTCTGTGGAAATTTGGGAGTGAGGGTGAAAAATAGAACATTACAGCTCTCTCTCTCTCTCTTTCTCTCTCTCTTTTTTCTCTTTCTCTTTCTCTCTTTTGTCCTAGACTAAGACTTTTGACGTATTTATTTAAAATATATCCGAGACGGGCAAAAATACCGAGAAGAGAATGTAGACGATCAAACAGGTGCAGGTCCATCACATTGCAAACCACGCCGCGCTGTTTCACAAGATTAAGATTGATAGATTGATGAAATAGACCCACCTGAGTATGGCGAAATGCCGTCTGAATCACCAGATTTGATTACTTCTCAAACCGCAAGAAAATATTTCATTATCATTTATATTAAGAAGGTATGAACAAATCTCTCTCTCACTCTCTCTTAATATTTATTTTTATCTATCAATTTCTACGTCCTTCAATTATTATCTATTGAATCTTTTTTTTCACACATAAACTCTTTCTTTATCTCATGTTTTAGTTTTTAATTACGTCAAACACATAGTCATCTCTCTCTCTTTTTTTTCTGTTTATTAAGTTATCCATTTGTCGGTTTTCTTTCTTACTTGGTTCATATTTCTCTCACTGACACTCTTTTTTTCTCTTTCACACAAAGTTATATACATTCTTTCTTTTTCTTATTTTTTATTTCTCCCTCTCTATTTATCCATTTTTCTCTCTCACTCTCTTTATCTTTATCAATTTACCCAGTTTTTCTGTTTCCTACGTCCTTCATATCTATCCAGTAAATGTTTTTTTTCTATTTCACACATAAACTCTTTCTTTTTACATTTTTTACGTCAAACACATAGTCATCTTTCTCTTACTCATTCTCTCGCTCTCTCTTTTTTTTCTGTTTATTAAATTATCCAGTTTTGCTTTTCGTTCTTACTTGCTTCATATTTTTCTCACTGACACTTTTTTGATCTCTTTCACACAAAGACATATCCATTCTTTCGTTTTCTTAGCTTTTAATTCTCCCTCTCTATTTATACCTTTCTCTCTCTCTCTCTCTCTCTCTCTCTCTCTCTCTCTCTCTATCTATCTATCTATCTATCTATCTATCTATCTATCTATCTATCTATCTTTATCAATTTATCCAGTTTTTCTGTTTACTAGTCCTTCATATCTATCTAGGAAATCTTTTTTTTTTCTTTCACACAAAAACTCTTTCTTTTTCTAATATTTTAGTTCTTTACTTTTTAATTACGTCAAACACATACAGTCATCTTTCTCTCGCACGTTCTCTCCCTCTCTCTTTCTTTTTGTGTATTAAATGTATCCAGTTTTTGCTTTTCTTTCTTACTTGCTTCATATTTCTTTCCCTGAAACTCTCTTCATCTCGTGAACTAAAAGGCATATACATTCTTTATTTTTCTTATCTTTTAGTTAAGAAAAATAAAGAATGTATGTATAAGAAAAATAAATAATCTCTATTTATCCTTTTCTCTTTCTCTCTTTTTATTTATTTCTATTTCTCTTTCTCTCTTGGTATTTTTTTCTCTCTCTCTCTTGCTGTATTTATTTCTATTTGTCTCACTCTTTTTGTTTCTATTTATATTTCTCCCTCCCTCCTTCTCTCTCTCATTTTTATTTATATTTATCAATTAATCTAATTTTTGTTTCCTCTTGGTTCATATCTCTCTCACTGAAACTCTTTTCCTCTCTTTCGTACGAAGGCATATACACTCTTACTTTTTTATTTTTTAGCTCTCTCTCTCTCTCTCTCTCTCTCTCTCTCTCTCTCTCTCTCTCTCTCTCTTTCTCTCTTTCTTTCTGTTTATTAAGTTATCCAGTTTTTGTTTCTCTTTATAACTTGCTTCATAACTTTCTCCCTGTAACTCTTTTTATTTTTTTCTCATAACGAAACACGCACTCTTTCTTTTAGTCGTCTTTTATCTCTCTCTGTTTCTTTTTAGTTATCTACTTTTTGTTTTCCTTTCCTGCTTGCTTCATATCTCTCTCACTGAAACTTTTTTCTCTCTTTCGTACGAAGGCATATACACTCTTACTTTTTTATTTTTTTAGCTCTCTCTCTCTCTTTTTTTCTGTTTATTAAGTTATCCAGTTTTGTTTCTCTTTCCAACTTGCTTCATAACTCTCTCCATGTAACTCTTTTTTATTTTTTTTTTCTTATAACGAAACTCCCACTCTTTCTTTTTCTCATCTTTTATCTCTCTCTGTTTGTTTTTAGTTATCTACGTTTTGTCTTTCTTTCCTATTATCTCTCTCACTGAAACTATTTTCCTCTTTTTCATACGAAGGCAAGTTTTTTTTTTTTTAGTTTCACTTTCTCTCTCTCAATAATTGTAAAATACAACACTTTAACATGAGCACTGTATCAGTTTTGTTTCATTTCTTCAATAGAAGAAGAAGAATAAATATCTCAAAGGGTTAAACATTCAGTTGCTAATTGCTATAAATAAACTGCTAGTTTAAACATATATACACATGTGTATATAAGTTTAGCCAAGGACTATAGTTTACAGTTTGATAAACTCGACCTTTGGTAGAGTCAAAATTAAAATCTTCAAGGATTATTGCTTAATTAATAAAGTTATTATCAGCTAGTTGTTTCCACACACATCAGACACAGACATACAAGCACAGTTTTTTAATGTGTGGTGTTTAGTGACCGTTAATCGATAATTTTTGAGAAATCGTGAGATGCGGTCTGGTGTGATAGGTTTCAGAAAAACATTTTCTTTATCGTGCCAACGTTTCGATCTTTATTGAGATCATCTTCAGGGCTTTTCCATATCCTAAATGTATTTGTTAAATGTAAACAATGTTTGTAAATCCCAGGCCCTGAAGATGATCTCAATAAAGATCGAAACGTTGGCACGATAAAGAAAACGTTTTTCTGAAACCTATCACACCAGACCGCATCTCATGATTTCTGAATAATTACACAGTTTTTTAAGTTGCGTCTCAAGTTCAGTTATGTAATTTATGCAGGATAATTGAAATATAAACAAAATGTGTTTAAATCAGAACAAGAAGATTCTGTTGTGTTTTAATTATTTCTATTAGCAGTACTGCTAGTTTAATGACATACGATGTAGGAAAACAGTTACGTACATGGCCGAGTTTTTTTTATCTTGTTACGACTTATTTTCATAAGAACGTTGATTTTCGGGTTGAGAATGGAAAGCGTGACCTGATCATAACAGCCGGTGATGGTGGTGTTCATATGGAAATGGACATGGAATATTTTATCAAAATATTTTAGAATAGTTCACTTCAATTATAAAAAACCCTGAAACAGTGGGGAAAACCTTATGTATTTGGGAAATTTTTCTTTGGTTTGAGAATGCTGTTTCAACTTTGATGAAGTCGTTTAACTAGCTTTTTTTCTGGTATCCTGAGCGCTTCAGCTATATTCTAGTTCACTAGGGTTCGTTACGTTTCCACTTGCTTGCGTATTTCATTGGTCATTCAAGGTCTGTGTCCTGTTTGTTTAAATAACTCTTGTTATTACAATAATTTACGCTCGTGAGAAGGGAATCCTTTTGCTTTCACATCATCATTGTCAAATATTTATTTTCCACCCAAATCTACACATCGGACCTGATAGTCAAACTGGGTACTAATTAACAAATTGTCCGACCCCTCGTCCTTTTTTACTAACACCTGGAAATTTAACAAATACATGGTTAAGAAAATTGTCGAAAATATTTTGAAGTATTGGTGGTGTTTTTGTTTTCTTGGCTATTGCTTATTAGAGATCCATTATTTTTGGTTTTTAAACTCTTTAAAGAAAATTGCACGAGAGTCGATCCTTTCATTGTAGTTTAACGAGACCAAATTGGCGCAAATTGGAACAATCGATCGGCTCAATCCCGTGTGCATTAAACTATTTCCTACCTCTGTCGTGTTATGAGATTTAAATTTTGTAAAAAAATAAATTATGGTAATTTCTATGTCATAGATGAGGGCAAAACGTCCAATTGTCCGTGTCAAACCAATTTACAGTACTTTCTCAATATTATACGTAATCTTTATGTAAGGTATTGGTTGAGATAAAAAAGTCAGTGCCACGAGCGGGATTCGAACCCACGACCTTCGGCATGATACGCCGCTACTCTACCACTTGAGCTATCGTAACTTCGATCCACTCGCGACAGTGACTTTTTTATCTCAACCATTACCTTATATAAAGATTAATTAATTGAAAGAGGTTATTTGGTAAATCGGACCACGAAATCTAATGGATTTAACAAGCCAAATGAAGCATATCTTCACTAAAGCTCTCCATGGTCATTTCATTTGTCGCCAAGAATTAAATAAATTACGCGACATTGGAAAACTTGCAAAACGGAGGGAAAATTAAAAAAAGGTGGATTGAGATGGGAGGTTGGTGTCCGAATGGATGGAAGTTACGATAACTCAAG